AGCAGGCGCAGACCTTTGCTATGGAAACGATACAGAAACATAATAAACAACTTGGCTAACTTTCTTCTATAAAGTAAGGGATGACCTGAAGAGAAATACACTAATACTATATTGAGGTTTTTAGGGAGTACTGTTAACAGTAGTGATAATTTGTTCACTGCCTATAATGTGTAAATGCTTCTTTGGAAATGAGATAGGAATGTAGTCTAAATAGTTTATTTGATCTTCTTTATAGTTCCTGAGATACAAAGGGGTAGCCTATTTTTCTAATGCTATGGTATATGTACTTGGAACATATGTTATGAAATATATTTTCTTTGCAATCTTATATGTATGATTACCTTCCTTCAACACAAGTTTACTTTACTGAAGTATAAAGGACAGGTGGTTATGTCTTTGCCAAGCTAGTATAAATGTGACTCATCTAATATGACTAGGATCTTTTGGTAATGTAGTGCTTACCAACATGTTATGTGATACTTGGATAACGTAGTAGGTAGCAATAAAATTTTTAATTTGTATTTTCTATTTTAGATTTAGCTATTTCATTTTGACCTGTTACTTTAGTGACTATAATTTCTTTCAATTACCAGAGGGCACGTGCACTTGCCAGAGAGACAGAGACACAGACAGACAGACAGTATTCTCGTAGTGGCGCATGATCACACCACAATCCCTTCTCCTCCATTTCTCCATCCCAACAGGATTTTGGGCATGCACACACATGTACGTGGCATGCTTTTTGTACAGCCAGTGTCAGTATTCAAATCATGGTCAGCTTTGTGGGATCCAGCTCCCTTAACCACTGAGCTATGGGACTGACCCTAAATGTTGATTTAACTTAAAAAGTTAATACAGCTTTACTACAAGTATGGGGAAGAAGAAGTGTATTTATTATTAAGAGCCATCGTTTTATCTTTCATGGTAGTTAATCAAAAGATAATATATTGGGAACCAGCAGTTAGTGAAATGGCTATGTCGATGGACTCCCACGTAGTCAACCGCGGTTCGCGTCCCGGACCCGGTGACTTAAAACTCATGCCGGGCGCATGTGCGTGCATGCCCAAGACCCCGAGAGGAGAATGGAGGAGAAGGGATTGCGGTGTGACCATCCCCCCTGGGGAGTGATTTCTTGCTTTCTGTCTCTCTGTCTCTCTCTGTCTGTCTGGTGAGCGCACGCACCCTATAGCGAAAATCTCTCCAAAAAAAAAAGGGTAATATATTTAACTCTCTTCCCCTTTGGTCAAATTAAATAAATAAATAAATAAAAATAAAATAATTCTAAAAATAAAATTGTCATAAACTTTGGTGGCTGTATCTTTAAGTATTATGCCTCTTTAGTTGCTGATCTTCTAGACTAGTGGTTCTCAACTTTTGTCAGTACAGCTCTACCCTTTAAAAACAACTTAAACAAGGGCCAGCCGCATGGCCTAGTGGTTAAGGGAGCCAGACCATGTGGTTCAAATCCCAGACCTGATAGCTTTGAAAAATGCCGTGGGCACATATGCCCAAAATTTTTACAAGATGGAGAAATGGAGGAGGAGGATTGCAGTGTGACCACATCCCATTGGGGAGTACTTTCTCTCTCTGTACATAGGCCCTCCTGGCGGGGTCGGGAGATGGGGGGGGGGATAAAAAAAAAAAAAACTACAACAGATACTTTTCAATGCTACACTGTTAACTTGAAATGGAAATTTGAAGGTAATATAATCAACTACACATACTAATTTTAAACATCATATAACAGGCTGGCCTCATTATACAACAGATTTAGCCCTATGTGTTGGGATCCAAATCCTCCATGGCTGTACATGGTTTAAATCTTGACTCTCGCAGCTTGAAAAAACACTTCAGGTACACGGGTGTGTATATGCCCCAAATCCTTATGGAATGGAGAGATGGAGAAAGGATTATGTTATGACCCCATCACACTGGGAGATGCCTCTCCCTCCCATCCTTTCCCTCTCCCCCACCTCTCATAAGCACACATATCCTCTGACAAAAAGAAAGAAAGAACAATTTTATGTATAGTAGCATCTAAAAAAATTCAGTACTTAGGAATAAATCTAACCAAGGAGATGTAGAAGTTACATATTAGAAGAAATTAAAGATCATTTGGATAAGTGGGAAAAAATACTGTGTTCATGAATAGAAAGATTTAATATTAAGACATCAGTACTTCCTTAAGAGATCTATAGATTCGATGTAATCCCTATCAAAATTCTCATCACATCCAGAGGCCAGAAGTTGGTTTGGGAGGTAAGGTATTGGGTTCCCACAAGGCCAACCTGGGTTTGAGTTCTGAACCTGGCAGCTTGAAAATCATGCTGGGCACGTGTGTGAGTGCCCAAAATGCTGAGAGGAGAATGAAGGAGAAGGGATTTTGGCATAGCCATCCTTCCAGGGGTACTTTTCCACTTTCCCTTTCTCTTATCTCTGGTGAGAGCATGTGCTCTGTGGGAAAAACCTAGGGGACAAAAAAATCTCATATATACCCCTTCCCTCCCATCCCTAGAGTCTTGCTGTGTTGAGATCCTCCAGCCTCAGACTCCCAAATAGCTGAAACTACAGGCATGTGCCCTATGCTTAACTTTTTGGGTGAACTGGAAATTGATCCCAGCCTCCCATGTGACCTTAGGCTGTCAAGTAAGCAGTATTAACTGGCACATGTTAATACAGCTCACTCTAACAAGGTTTTTTTTTCCCCATAGAAAGAGAAAATGTGACTTCATGTGACTCCTCAAATTCACATGGAGTCACATGGGGTCCTAAACAGTCAAAACAGTTCTGAAAAGGAAGAATAAAGTTGGAGGACTCTTCACTTCCTGTTTTTGAAATCTTCTAGTATGATGCTGGCATAGATAGACTAGTGGTCTGGAATCGAAAGCCTAGAAACAAACCCTTACATATGAGAGGGGTTTTCAAAAAGTTCATGAACAAGTGGAGAGTTAATTTTATTTTAGTACAAAAATATTTTGAAATTCATTCATCATCTCCCCCCCCCCCCCCCGTTTTTTTTTTTGTTTGTTTGTTTTTTGGATTCTTGCATTAGGGCATGTGCACTTGCTAGAGAGAGACAGAGAAACAGGGAGATGGAAAATGAGAAATCACTCCCCAGGTGGGATGGCCATGCAACAATCCACAATCCCCTCTCCTTAATTCTCCCCTTAGGATTTTGTACATGCACACGTATACACCCAGCATGATTTTCAAGCCAGTGGATCTGGGACTTGAACAGCTGTCAGCCATGTGGGAGTCTAGCACCTTAACCACCATGCCATCAACTGGCCCCTTCATGATTTTTCTTTTTAAATAATTATTTAATTCCATTTGTTATTATTATTATTTTTGTAATTTGACCAAACAGAGTCAGGGAGAGAGAGAAAGGGAAAGCGAGAAAGCAAGCCACCAGGTCCAGGACTTGAACCACACGTGGCATGACTTTCAAGCTGCAGGGTCCAGGACTCTAATCACGGTCAGCCACATGGGAGTCTAGCACCTTAATCACAATGCCACCTCCTGGCCCCTGTTACACCCATTTTAAAATGTATCAACTTACTACCTGCTTATTTTTGGTTGCTCCCTGTGTGTTCAAGTCATTCTTTACATTTTTTTTGTGTAGTGTATGTTCAGTAGTTGTTATCTGCATGAAAATGGATCACAGAGATGCTACTCAGCCATCAGATTCTCCCTAACTGCTATTTGTGTATGGCCACATGTTGCTTAAGACAGGGATACTTTCTGTGAAATGCATCCTTAGGTGGTTTTTTCATTATGTGAACATCGTTTTGTGTACTTACACTGAGTTGGTATAGCCTGTTGGAATCTTTAAGACCACCATTGTATATGCGATCTGTTGTTGACTGAAACTGTCTTAAGTGATGCATGACTGTATGTCAGGTCCCTATTTCTCTTCATTGCCTCCTTTTTTGGTGGTGTTGTTTTAGCTTCTCATAGTTCCCACTTCTTCATGTAGATCTCCTGTAGTCGTCTTAACTTTAGCAATAGTGAAGGGTACTGGGCCAGCCAGGTGGTATGATAGTTAAGGAAACTAGATACCACATGGCTGACTATGAGGTTGAAGTTCTGAACCCGGCAGCTTGAAACACATGTTGGGCACATATGTATGCATGCCCAGAATCCTGAGAGGAGAATGGAGAAGGGGTTGCTGCATAGTCATTCTGCCTGAAAAAAGAAAGGGGTGGGAGATACCAAGGAAAGTCAAGTAGCCCAGCTTATTCAGTCAGTTGAAATTCTAATTTGGTAACATATGGAATAGTTGTTCAAACTTTGTACTAAAGCAAAGTGCCTCTGATTTTTTTTTTTTTTTGAGAGGTTTTCGCTATAGGGCGTGTGTGCTCGCCAGACAGTCAGAGAGAGACATAGAGACAGAATGTGAGAAATCACCCCCCCCCCAAGGGGATGGTCATGCTGCAATCCCTTCTCCTCCATTCTCCTCTCGGGATCTTGGGCACACACACACATGCACCCGGCGTGAGTTTTAAGCCACTGGGTCCAGGACGCGAACCGCGGTCAACTACATGGGAATCCAGCGACATAGCCATTATGCTAACTGCTGGTTCCTAGTGCCTCTGATTTTTAAGAGCTGGTGAGAGGGCCTTTCCACATACCCAAACCTATAGGTCTGGTTTGGTGATTGATTTGCATTGCCCAGAGTTTAGAATCTACATTTCTTTTGTGTTCTCCACACAGAGTCAGAAGGTTTTGTAAAATTTGTGTTAATCCTTATTTTTATTAAAAAAAAAAAAAAAAAAAAGAAGGCCCACATTCCTTTGGGTAACATATTCCAGTGCTTTAAACTTCTTAAACCACTTGAGAAATGAGGACTTACATTGATTCCTTTTTTTGTTATCTTTTGAAATAACATTTTACATGTGTATAGTATATATATGATACAGATATAGTAGATTTACTAAGGTTATTGTAAAATGCATGAATAATGAGTTGTGTTTTTTTGTGTTTGTTTTTTTTTTAATTAGCTCCTGGGCTTTAATGAAAAGCCAATAAATCTGCAGATGTTTATTGGAACAGCAGATGATCGATATTTACGACCTCATGCATTTTACCAGGTGCATCGAATCACTGGGAAGACAGTTGCTACTGCAAGTCAAGAGATAATAATTGCCAGCACAAAAGTTCTGGAAATTCCACTACTTCCTGAAAACAATATGTCAGCCAGGTATCTTCTTTTTTTTTTTTTTTTTGCTATAGGGCGCGTGTGCTCTCCAGATAGACAGAGAGAGACATAGAGACAGAAAGCGAGAAATCACCCCCCAGGGGGGATGGTCACACCACAATCCCTTCTCCTCCATTCTCCTCTCGGGATCTTGGGCACGCACGCACACGTGCCCAGCGTGAGTTTTAAGCCACCGGGTCCGGGACGCGAACCGCGGTCGACTATGTGGGAGTCCAGCGACATAACCGTTACGCTAACTGCTGGTTCCCAGCCAGGTATCTTAAAACAAAATGAGCAATTCTTTCTTTTCCTAAAATAACTCTCAGGAACAAAAACATGTGTGTTTCATTTTTAGTGTAAAACTAAGATACTCACTGTTCCAAATTACTGAATGACATTATATAAATAATTGTATGTGTGCATTTGCTAAGAGTGGTAGCATATATTGAGAAAGAAAACTGAATTCATCAGATATTTATGGACCAAATCAAGTGTCAGCTAAGTATCATCCTATGTGATAGCAGTAACAATATGTGGACTTGTCAAGTATTTTATAGTCAGTAGAATAAACAATAAATAAATAATCATAGTATAATTGTGATTATTAAGCTTCCTTAAGAAAAACGTGATTTTTACCTCCAGCCATCCCATATGATAAATTTCCAAATAAAATGAGGTGGCCATGGGGCAGCAGGTAGCATGGTGGTTAAGAGCTCTGGGTTCTCATATGGCTGATCGTGGTTTAAGTCCTGGACCTAGTGGCTTGCTTTCTCACTTTGCCTTTTTCTTTCTTTCTGGTCAGATTAAAAAAATAATGATAGCAAATGTAATTAAATAAATGAATAATTCTTTTTTAAAAAACTTATTTGTTTATTTGTGTGTTTTAGTTTGACCAGAGAGGGACAGAGCATGAGAGAGAAAGAGAGAGAGAAGGAAAGTGAGAAAGCAAGCCACCAGGTCCAGGACTTGAACCATGGTCAGCCATGTGAGAGTCCAGTGTCCTTAATAACCATGCCACCTGCTGGCCCCAATAATTCTTTTTTAAAAAATAGGGGTGGCCAACTTCTGAATGAGAATGCAGTAGAGTTTTGTTGAAGTGGATTAGTTAGGCTTGTATATAGGTGCCTATAACAGAAACCTGAAATACAGTGGCTTAAACAGTTAAGTTTAGTTTTTTTTTTTTTTGGAGAGATTTTCACTGTAGGGCGCGTGCGCTTGCCAGAGAGACAGAGAGAGACATAGAGACAGAAAACGAGAAATCACTCCCCAGGGGGGATGGTCATGCCGCAATCCCTTCTCCTCCATTCTCCTCTCAGGATCTTGGGCACGTACGCACACGCGCCCAGCGTGAGTTTTAAGCCACCGGGTCCGGGACACGAACCGCGGTCGACTACGTGGGTGTCCAGCGACATAGCCATTACGCTAACTGGTGGTTCCCGAAACAGTTAAGTTTAGTTTTTAATCACAAAAAAGAGAAATATACAGTTAGACATTTAAGGGCCAGCCCATTGGCTCCCTTAGTCATTGAGTCTCCTAGCTTCTGTTTTTTTCTTCTCTGCTATTTTAGCATGTGGTTTCCATTCTCAAGATTGTCTCATGATCAAAAATAGCTGCTGGAGTTCTAGCCATTATAACCATATTCCTAAAAGGAATAATGAGAGAGGAGTAGGAAGAAAGATAAAAGGGAACTTCTACCTGAGTCAGGCTTTTTTTTTTTTTTTTTTTGAGAGGTTTTTGGTGTAGGGTGTGTGCGCTCGCCAGAAAGACAGAGAGATAGAAAGCGAGAAATCATCCCCCAGGGGAAATGGCCACGCCACAATCCCTTCTCCTCCATTCTCCTCTCAGGATCTTGGGCACGCACCATGCACACACATATGCCTGGCATGAGCAGTCTGCTACATGGGAGTTCAATCACATAGCCATTACTCTGACTGCTGGTCCTGAGTCAGGCCTCTTTAAAGAGCTTTTCCCAGAAATTTACCCAACACTTCTATATCTCATTGATCATACGTATATATAAGGAAGACTTGAATATAGTTTTTTACCTGAATACATTGCTATGTATAACAATATAGAGATCTGTTATAAAAAATGAACTGGGAACAATATCAAGTAGGCAACTGTTAATTTGCCACAACTAGGTGTATGAAACTGAGTTTTGTTGAAGAAGTTGCTTTAAACTACAATACAGTCCAGACCTTTCTTAAAGTGACATTAACTGGCTAACAGGTAGCATGATGGGCCAGCGGGTGGCATGGTGGTTAAGGCACTGAACTAACACATGGTCAACTACAGTTCAAGTCTTGGACCTGGTGGCTTGCTTTCTCATTTTCCTTCCCTCTCTGTCTCTCTCTGTTGAGCACATATGCCCTATAGCAAAGTTCTAAAAAAAAGAAACAATGATGATAAAATAAATTAATAAGTGGTTTTTTGGGGGGGATGGGGGTTGCAATAGGGCGCATTTGCTTGCCAGAAATACAGAGAGAGACAGAGAGACAGAAAGTTAGAAATCACCCCCCAGGGAGGTTGACCACACTGCAATCTCTTCTCCTCCATTCTCCTCTCGGGATCTTGGGTACACATGCCCACCTGCCTGGTGTGAGTTTAAGCCTCCAGGTCCAGGACTCGAACCACGGTCTACTACATAGGAGTCTAGCAACGTAGCCAATATGCCAACTGCTGGTTCCTAAATAATTTTTTAAAACTGACTTTAACATCTATCCCAGGTAAGAATTACTGTAAGAACAATCCTATAAAAACTCAGATTTTAGTCTTGAACTCTCTTCTCTTAATTACATAGTTAAATAACTTTTTAGATAAACTGAATATATCCCCAAGGGCATAGAAACTGATATGATTCTACTATAGTAAAATTAAAATCGTCTCAGGATGAGCAGATGGTGTGGAGGATAGGGTACTGAACTCCCACATTTCTGACCACAGTTTGAATCCCGTACCCTGTGGGTTGAAAATCATATGGGCACTTGTGCATGCATGCCCAAAATTCCAAGAGAAGAGTGGAGGAGAAGGGACTGTAGTGTGGCCTTCCCCCTTGGGGGGGTGATTTCTTGTTTCCCATCTCTCTGTCTCTCTCTGGCACACACGCTATGGCAAAAAAAAAAAAAAGGAATTGTCTCACGAAGTAACTTATCCTGTTACCTACTTATCAAAAGAGAAAAGGTAATATATTTTAAAATAAATTCTTATTTCACCTGCTTTATTAAAATGGATAATGCTCAGGGTCAGCAGGTGGTTTGGTGGTTAAGGTGCTGGACTCCCACATACCCAACCATGGTCTGCGTCCCCAACATGGTGGCTTGAAACTTAGTTGCTTGAAACTTACACTGGGTGCATGTGTGCCCAAAATCCCAGAAGGGGCTGGCAGGTGTCATGGTGGTTAAGGTGCTGGACTTCCACATGGCCGACCACAGTTCTAGTCCTGAACCTGGTGGCTTGCTTTCTCACTTTCCCTTTCTCTCTGGTCAAATTAAAAAATAAATAATAATGCGGGAACCAGCAGTTAGCGTAATGGCTATGTCGCTGGACTCCCACGTAGTCGACCGCGGTTCGTGTCCCGGACCCGGTGGCTTAAAACTCACGCCGGGCGCGTGTGCGTGCGTGCCCAAGATCCCGAGAGGAGAATGGAGGAGAAGGGATTGCGGCGTGACCATCCC